TAATTTTGTGTAGGAGCTATACAGGGGAGAAGATCTTGCACTTTAAAAAAATGTAAACAAGGTACATATATTGCCTTCTTCCCCATTACAAGAACCGAGGAGGGTTTCAGCACATCAGAAATACTAATCAGCTACTACTATTTTTTTATTTTCACTTCTCTGAGAGCATAATTTGGTGGAGATGGTTGTAAGCTTGTCAGAGTATTGCATTGTTATAAATTTTGTCAATATTCACAAGGAATGTCTGCTGAACAGCCATTAATACAAGCTTCACTTCTCTCAGTATGCCAACAGATACATTTTCTGTCAGTTTTATTTGCTTAACGATATATAGGTGCATATAACTAACATTACAGTGCCTGTATTAGTGGGATGGCAGTTAATATCACAGTGCTTAGCATTACACCTTTGCTACATGTCTCTTTCTGTGCAGCTATAATGGGGTTGCAGATTTCTTTATGTCTCTGACTGACTGTCTTGCCCAGGCCATGCAGCCATCCCTGAGTAGGGGAAAAGCCTCTAGAATTACTCAAGGACAAATGTTGTGGAGAGAAAACCATTTAAGAACAGACAGAACAAAAATCAAGCATCTTCTAACCTTTTTTTTTCCCAGGTGTGTAGAACAAGCACTAGTTAACTTGCTGGTATTTGTTTAGAATCATGTCCTCCAAATTAATTTTGTATTGTTGTGTAATATGAAAGAACAGTGTTAACCTCAGTGACTTATACCACAATGGAAGGTGAATAAAGCAAAGATAATTAGAAGATATGAGTAAAAGAAGAGGAAAACCAGTACTCAAAATTCAGGTCAAAATTACATTTTCTCCCTATGGAATTGCCCTTTTTTAAAAGGAAATAAACATCCTTTTGCTTTCAAACCAGTTATCTTTTCTTGTGTGTACTTTAGCCATTTAGGAAATGAGTAGTTAATTTTGTTAAATGGTTTTCTTTCCCTTGGATAGGATTATTTAATAATTTATGTTACTTTATAAATTGGAGCAAATAAACAACAAAATGTGTCATCTCACCAGCTTCTGCTCTTTAGTATTTAGACTATAATATAATGACTGTATTGCAGAACGTGCCAGTTTTGTGGTATAGTGTTCAGTAGCAACATCGAAGACTACTCCCACAGTCACCATCTGATAGCTGATGGGATCATCTGATTGTGCAGAACCAGTTGTGGTTCAATCCTTCAGAGCAAAATACGAATTTGTGGCCTCTCATTTTTTAAAGTATCTTGCTGTCTTGGATACTGCTTTATATTTTTTCCTTTTTAGACTATAAAGGGAGGGAAAACTACAATTTCCTTTGACCTCACGCAAGTCTGACAGGAAGGAAATCTGGTTAGGCTGAAGAATCCTGGAATCTGGTAGCCTGACTTTTCAAAGACTCTGTAGCTTACATTTCTTTCCATAAGATGTTTGGGCAGTCAGAATCTTCAAAGTGCAGGATGTGAGTCCTTTTTGACTTTTTGAAGATATAATTTAGAAATAGTGTGTGCTCACCTGAATTTTCCTTCCCTGCTTTCCTTCCCCTCTGTGTCTCCTTTTATCCTCTTCTTCAGATACTCTGCTCTGGAGCCTTGACGAGTAGGGTATTGAATAAACATAAGGTACTGAAGAGCTTGCTGCAGAATTGGTACACTTAGCTGTCCATGACTTCTTTCTGTCGGCAAAAGAGGCACTTCAATGAAAGATGCATGAGAATAAGCAAATATTTTCCTGGTTGTCCAGCTGTGGTTTAGCACACTTTATATGAGGTAATGGAAACAGGAGATAAAAATATTGACATTAAAATATGGCAACCACTGTTAATAAGCTCATTCTCTTTTCTGAAAATGAATATCTAAATTTATTTCTGTAATGTGGAAACTTGTTGCTGGTTTTGCATTTTAGAAGATCTACGCTTTCAAAGCAAAATCAAATGAAATATTTGTGTTTCTTTCCTGTGTTACAGGTCTAATATGTTTTTGTCTTATTAGGTGCCTGTGCTTAAGAAATGCTTTACAACACAGGGCTTAAATTCAAAAGAGTATTAGAGGGTGAGCCCAAGAAGCATCTCCTTTTCTTGAAGGGAAAATTGAGAACAAAGATATTTTCAGCTACTCTTTTAAGTGAGACTAAAAGCAGGTAACTGCAGTGTGTTGATATTTAGTGTCCTAGTAGTGCTAGAAGTAATTTAACAGCAACGAAGAATATTTTTTCCAGAATCCAGTATACTTGTATGGTTAACCCTTGCCCTGCTCTGGAAGAAAAGATGCATAAAGTTTGACTACTAATAAAAATGCCGTTAAAAATTTAGTTGGGATGAGTTTCATTTGGAAGACCAAGTTCTCTTTATGTAGGAAGCCCAAACTGAATTCAGACTAGTGGTAAGATGTGCAGATAGCTCTTCTAGAATGCTTTTTATCCTCAGCTTTTACACATGCTTTACAATGGATGTAGCAGCCATTATGCTGTTTTTTCATGGTGGGGAAAAAAAAAAGGCAAAAAGCTTGGTTTAAACATGTGAAAAAGAATAGAACTGTGGGACTGCTGTAAGGGCAGAGGAAGGAGGGGGTGGCTAAATTAGTTACTGATTTTCTTGAGGGAAGACTGGCATCTGAATCTTTTAATTATTTCTTAGGAAATACTGAGAGGGTAGAAATGAAAGAGAGGGGAATGGAAAGAATTAAATCTTAATATATAATATATGTAATTTTAATTCAGCCTGTCTTTTGAGTGTTTGACACTGCAGTCCTAAAAGTATTTTTTTAATAAGTGCAACATAAAGGAAGTGTTGACCCTTGGTGATTTAAAGGTAAAATAATCTTGTAGGGTGTACTGTGCAGAGAGAGAGAGAGGTGTTTGAATAATGACTGACTTTGTTCCTTTTGTAGCTATTTTAGATTTTCATCTCTTCCTGTCCAGCATTCCTAATGCAGCTGGGATATTTTAATAAGAATATAATTATTTTTAAGGAGCTTTTGGTTCATCTAATCTTGAAAGTGATGGTAAATGGGACTGAGGTGAAAGAGGGTTATTGGCCAAGACGCAGAAGCGTTCTTTTCTCAAACCTGTTTATTTTATATGCAGTGAATAAGGACAGAAATTGCATACAGATTTTGTGCAAAACCACTGCATCTACTGTTGTCTGCATTTTAAAATCCACTTGTAAAGTCATGGTACGTGCACAGTTCAAACATTTCTGTTTAATGCTTACCTTGTGCTGCTCTAACTGATGTTTCAGAGACTTCCTCTTTTCTCTGTAGGCTTGCATCATAATAGACATGCCACTAATATATAATGTCAACACTTGAATGTAAGTGTTTGTTATTAAGGTTCCAGTGGGTATGGAAATAATAATGCTGATCCTTGACAGGATCAAGTTTGTATATAGGAAAAGTGCAGAAATTCTTCCTCAAACCCAGTGTGTTATGAAAGTTTGAAAGTTTTTCTGACATTTCCTTTATAGGAACTTTCTTAGGGCTGTAATTGAGAAACAGCATAAATCTGGAGAGTACAGGTGACATTTCTCACATGCTTATCATGCTACGATGAAAAAAAATGGTAGCAGCCATTATTTTTAAATCTCCAGTTAGTTGTAATGCTGAAAAGTTCTGGTGGTGACTCATCAGACCTCACGGGCAGTGCTCCTGATTAAGTGTGCTAGCTGAACAGTGTTGTAAACTACTTTATGACTTCACCTTTGTATCTGAGTTTTTCTTATCATTTCCTCTTTTTAAAAAAATCTTATTGATAACCCTCAAAATGTGAGGTTAGTACAGTGCCATATGTAATAGCAACAAGATGATTTTTACGGCTTTGATGAATATCATGAATGCAATTGTAAATTAAAGTGATCTCTCTGTAGGAGTAACCATGTAGATGCAATAACTGTGCGTATGTATACACTTTAGATACAACTTCCAGGATACCCTGGACAGCCTTTTACTTGGTCTCTTCTACAATATTTACACTCTTCCGTATCTAACTGACTTTAGGGAATTTCACCTCTTCTTCAAATAGAGACTTTTGAAATCTAGAAAGACTACTTTTGAGTAGTCTTTCTAAGAGTAGTCTTTTTAAAATTCATCCATATTGATTCAAACTGCTAAAGCTTTAATTTTGGAGTACCTTAGATCCTTTAAAGCAGTAATTTAAGCCCTGGAGGAAACTCCTGAATCTCCTTTGAGACTATTAGCACTGCACTTTCATGGTTTGGAGCATCTTTCATATGAGGAAAATCTGAGAGAGCTGGGACTGTTCAGCCTGGAGAAGAAAAGGCTCAGGGAGATACTTGCAATTTGCATAAACACGTCATGGAGGGAATGTAGATGAGGTAACTAGGACCCTTGCAGTGCTGCCCAGTGGCAGAACTAGAAGCAGTGGGCACAAACTGAAACACTGGAGGTTCCCTCTGAACACCAGGAAATGCTTCTTTACTGTGAGAATGATGGCACAGGTTACCCAGAGAGGATGTGAAGTCTCTGTCCTTGGAGAGATTCAGAAGCTGCCTGGATACAGTCCAGGGCAACTGGCTGTAGGTGACCCTGCTTGAGCAGTGTGGTTGGACGAAATAATGTCCAGAGGTCCCTTACAACCTCAAGCATTCTGTGATTGTGTGCCTTGGGGTCTAACTCTGTGTTTGCCCTGTCACTGAGACCTCCCTTCCCTACCCTCACTCCAAAGTTGTGAAATCTTTAAGAGGTTACCCCAGTGACTGTGGCCAAAAGAAAGTTCCTTCTCTGCCCCCCCCCGCCATGCCCTAATGTATCCTTTATGTATGTGTTACCTTAGTCATACATGTCAATTGTGAAAATTTGGGAACATTGGAAGTGTGTGTGTCTGAATATTGCATGTGTATATATTTAATGCAGGTATTTTATAGGAGTCCAGTCTAAAGTCTTTAATAATAATGCTTTGATTACTGTAACAACAGTCCTTGTATCTTTAAGTTGTTTTGTGGCTTATTAACTTTTTTCTTCTTTTTGTATGTGTGTGTGTGTTGTCTTGCAGAGTTGGAAGAATCCAGGAATTTCAAGCTTTGAATAACAGGCATCTTATAAAATCACCACAGCTAAACTGAAAAGGCAGATACATCTCAGAGTACCTGGTTGAGTGAGCTGGTGTGTGCACAGCATGTACATGAAAATGCACATGTTTTTCTCATCGCATAGACTTACTCCTGCATATTCCTGAGACCTTTGCAATTGATGAAAATTAATTTGAGAGCCAGATGGAGCACCTTTACAACACAGCAATCAGTAACCCATGGAAAGACACCTGCTAGTAATGTTCAGCTTTCCACATGGTCTTCACGGGTGAAAACAGTTTGCAAGAAGAGGAAGAAAAAACACCCTCTGCACAGAAAAAGCCTAACAAATACCTCCACAATCTAAATTAATAGCTGTGAGGAAGACAAGAAAAATACAGAGGGTAGAAGAAACTGACTTTGTTATTGCAGAAGAATAATGTATGGTCTTTGCCCCTTTTTGCTCTGGGCTCAATAGATTGTGAATGGACTAATAAATCGTGACCACATGTTGAGTAATGATGACTGGAAGTAAATAAGTTGAGGAACTATGGGACAACTCTGGGCATTGAACTGAGCAAACCTCATCGTCCTTCTTGAGTTAACCAGTTCATCAAACTGGTGCATATTCTTTCTCCCTCTCCTTTTTCCTCTTTTCACTTAGTGTGGTATAAATACTAATTAATTGAGCTCATAAATGTTATTCAAATAAAACGATTGGAATACTTCATATGTTTCCTTCTTGTACAGCTGCAAATGTTGTGTCTGGAACTATGAATCTGTGCTGTAGACAAGCATCAAGAAGGAAAGATCCGATCAAAGAAGCAAGGAAAATACCTAGAGAAATAGCGAACCCAGGAAGTCAGATTTTTAATGCTGCTTCTCTTTCTTTTTTAGATGATTATATTTCTTCCTTCCTTGAATTTTAGAAGATTTTGAAAGAGTGCTTACTTGATGTGCTTTAACTGTGGCATTTGCTTTTTATGATAGGAGGAAAAAATCTGTGATTCCTTGTAGCAGAAAAAAGGGAAAAGTGAAGGAAAAACAGCTTGACATTTTAGCCTGTTTCAGAGGAGAGAGAACTTCATGGTTCACCTGAGGCAAACTTATCTGCTTGAAAGCTAAAAGCTTTAGAGTATTTTTGATTCTGCTATAAATGAAGAGGGGGTTTCTTTTTCATACGTGTGTGGCAGCAAAGAGTGGGAAAGCAGGCAAGATAGCGTGATAAACAGTTCAGGCTGTGTTGGGTCTCTGGTGGAAAAAAAGTGCTGCAATGAAAAGTGGATTGGCTTTGGATTGCAAAAACTTTTGAGTCCAACGAGCGGTTCAGTACCAAGAGGGATTTCCCAACTGGCCTGGCACACCAGTGTCTGCACAAGTTCGGGTCTGTTGTTTCGCATGGTTTGTGTGCCTTTTTTTCCCTTTATGCAATCTCTTTCAGCTTTAGCAGCAGAAATACATCAGATGGAAAAGATATGCCAGAGGGCAGCTTGGAAAAGATGAATGTCATATATATACGTATGTATGTATGTGCGTATGTTTAAATTTCTGCAACTGAACTTTTGAAGAAAAATCTGTCTGGAGGAAATTTTAAAAGCCTTAAGTTACTTGAAACCTACACATTTGCAACTCTTTGTCTCTGGAATTGCATTACGCTAAACTGGAATCTCAGGCTGTATAAAGATTATATCAAGTTGAGCAAAAAGATGACTTAACCATTTCTTGAGCGCCTCTTATGAAGTAGCTGTTTCTCCAAAGGATTAAGTGCACCCTCACTCTACAGACTCAAACAAAAATGAACGTGAATTTTTTTTTAAGTGTTACTTTTTCTTAGCCAACTGCCATCATCTTTTATAGAGGAATTTTTCACTATGCATTTGGTGGATATTTATAAACACTGACCCCATCCTCCTCCCTTTCAATGATCTATCCCAGGTCAGTCTTATCAATAAAAAAGAAAAAAAAATTGATTTAAATTTTGTGCACTAGACATATTACTTTCTTATGTCAAAAAATAAAATATTTCAAAAGCATGTATGCAGCAGTGGAACATGGGCCTGTTCTCTGCAGCGATTCCAACATCCTCTGCCTCTCCTGGAAAGGGAGAGTCCCCAAAAGTGAGAAGGAGAAACCAGTGTGCAGGAGGCGGTACTATGAGGAAGGCTGGTTGGCAACAGGCAATGGCAGAGGAGTTGTAGGTGTCACTTTTACTTCCAGCCATTGCAGGAGGGACCGAAACACCCCTCAGAGAATCAACTTCAATTTGAGGGGCCACAACAGTGAGGTAAGCTAAATGTGTGTTACACTTTGAAGGAAATGATGGCAATGCTTTTTGTGTATATTTCTACTTAAAATCTGATGGAGTGGTATGAAGGAGGTTCAAGACTAATCCAAATGTGATTGGGATCTGTTGGAGTCTTTCTGATGAATTCGAGCGCATAAGGCTGATGATGGGGAGGTTCTCTGGAAATTAGTCTGGTTTTGGTCTGGCCTGTTTACTCCTTCATTCCCAGGCCCTCCCACTTTCTAAACAAATTAAACAAATGTGCGTTAAGGCGGTTAAAATTTGATAGTTGATTGCTTTTACACAGTATTAAAGTTGGGCTTGGAAGACTTATGGAAAGGCAGGGGAGTAGAAGATTTGTTCGGTAAAGTCTGCCAAGTCTTTTGGAAGCTGCAAACTGGGATGGCATGTGGCAGGGGATAGCTGTCATCTCTAGAAAAACTTTTGTCAGGAAAAGGAGTAAGAGGGACTAATCAGCAAAAAAGTTCAGATGCCCTGCAGTGAAATGCTGTAACTTCAGAGTGCAAGCATTGTCCTGATTATAGTGATGCAAAAACTTTTTATTTTTTTCTGAAAGGGATAAATGAGTTGGTAAAAGCCTGTATTTTAGCTGTGCTTTATCATCATCCCGGTACCTGTCTTTCTCTGCATAATGCTTCATGGAAAGTGCAGGTGATGCCCAGTAGCATGCAGTGTCTCGGACAGGTGTAAGGACTTTGTTTATTTCTGCTTTTTAGTTAGGCTGCATTTGGATATACTCCTTGAAAAAAATCTGTCCAAATCAAAGCTTTATTTTTTTTTAGTGGATGGAATGACATTGTATATACTGAAATTAAAGCCAAAGATACAATGTGTTTTTTCTTTTATGCTACTTACTTGTTGGACTCTCAATATATGTTGCCCTTTTGACATAAGCTGCACCAAGGATTTAGAAGTGGGTGGTTTCGTTTCTTGTGTAACATTAGTAACAATCTTCTTTTTAAGGAAGAAAGGGAGCAGAGGATAAATGTTTAGTCTAAAATAACTGCTTCCTCAGGCTTTTTTCTATATGCAGGTGTGTGGGTGTATTGCAAATTATAGAAACTTTTATATTTATAGATGAGAGACAGATTCATGTATATATCTGTGTAAGGCTCATTCAGAAAATTACAGCCACCTTTTCCCAAAGGGAATGATGATGTTTGAATCCAGCATTTTGTTTTGAACTGTCTCTAGTGGTCAGCATAATTTTCAATTGCAGATTGCATTTTGTGTTTGGAATGTGTAATACAGTGATCACTTTTCATTTCTCCATGTTTTGCTCTCTAACTTTTCTGGGAACCTGGGCACCCATTTTTCCCCTTTTGCGTAATAAATATCTTGGAAACCCTGGAGGAAGTGGGAACCCTGGTCATGGGAATATGAAATCTTGTTGCAGGACATGGGTATATAATACTAGGTTTAAGTATGTGCCAGTTAAATGGAGAAGATGCTGATGTGCATGCTGCCCTTTGGTTTTGGCTAGTTTGCTTTGTTTATTCAGTTGGCCATTAGATTCTCTTTCTGGGTCATTGCATCATTGCTGTGTGGATTCAGCTGTGCTGTTTGTGCATCCTTTTGCTTACCAGTGATTGGTATGAGAGAGACTCTCAGATGAGAGGAAAATGTTCTATTTGATGTGGGGAGCACTTAAAATGTGTAGGGTCAAGCTTGTCATTAATAAAGAGTTGTGTTTTTGTAAAGAACTTTCCTGATAGCAGAAAATATGTGAATGACCAGAATAGAGACTGCCAATTAATTCCTCTGTATGGCACTAAAGAATCGGTATGGTGGGGTCATATGGAAGGAAGAAGAGAAGTGGTTTTAGTGCAACTAACTTTCTGTGGTGAGTGTGGCTGCTATTAGATTCTCCTGCTGGCATATTTTTTTTGAGCATCAGCGTAGATGAAAGTTCAGTGTTGTAAGATGGTGTGTTGTATAACACTCTTCAACAGGCTTATTGCATGTAATCCTTTTAAAGGAGAATCTTACTGATTTTGGTAGAAATGAAACTGTAATACAGGATTTGTTTGTTGTTAAAGGTATATAGTCGAGTTTTTAAAGATTATTTTCTTTAGAAAACACCTTTGCTTCTAAATCTGCTGAAAGATTTTTTGAAAGAAAACGTTGAACAACACTGTTTATTGCTAATATTTGCATAAGAAGTAGTAAACATTTTGTTTTCCTATTCTCATGTTAAAAAGCAAGCCAACAACAACCTTGTCTCTTCTGTGTACTGTTACACAGTGGAAAATGCTAATTTTTCAAGCTTATCCTGCTATATATATCTGATTAATGTTATGTTTGTTGTACAGAATGTGCCCAAAGGAATGTGATTGAATTAAAATTTTAAGATCTTGTGTGTTTCACATGTTATATTGCCTTCTTCCCAGAAATGGTCATTTATACCACTACATATTTTGCTTTGGGATAAAGTTAGGGTGACAAGTCAAGTTTATTGCTTTTCTGACAAAGATTGCTGCTTTGATATTAGTATCCATTCAATTATAAAGTGTGAAATGCTGTAATAAACAGAGGAGAAGAGTGAAAATACAGAAGCTAAATGCTTTCCACTTGGGGTATAATTAGCAATATGCTGTGGGCAGAGCAGTACATTGTATTTCAGTTTTAGGGTGAAAATCTGGAAAAGGTGATGCAGCAGTGATGTGCTTTTGGCAAGAACGTGAGACTATTTTTAAGTGAGTCATGAAGGTGGATGCTAGTGATGTATTTTTGTTATGTTTTTATGATTGCTGAAGAGAATTCAGCTTTTCCTGCTGAAACTTTTTTTGTACACAGGTCCTTTTTATTGTCATAGCACACCTGTAGCATATCAGAACAAATAAGAATGAAGAATCTCCAGGATTTAATTACTGACATGCATATTGCAGTGGTGAACTTGAATGACTTATCTCATTGAACAATAATTGAGAATGAAATGCTTCATAGCATGAGCTTGTGTTTTTACAATTGCTTCAAGGTTGGTTTTTAGAGTTTGAATGAGGAAATGTCTGCCATATTATTTTAATTAGTGACCTCAATTTTTTGTAGTTTCGAGGGATAACTACAGTGATCAAAATAAGCGTATTCCATTTATTCTGTGGCAAGAGGTGAAAATACTGCATTTGGTGATAAACCCCTTTTAACTTTGGCATTACAGTTACAGTCCTGAATATCATTTATGTAAGTCTCAGCATTCTAAAAATGAAAATTTAAATGGGCATGTACCAAAGGCAGAAGCAACTATGATGCAGAAGGAAGGGGTAACCTGTGTTGCACAGCAGTGACATGTTTCATGTGTCATAGGAACACGTTGTATCTCTGACTGTGACATGGGAGGTGTCTGTGTGGGTTAGTAGTGGATGGAGCAGATGTGGATGACTGCAGAGGCTCATGGTTCAGCTTGGCTTTAGAGCATTCGCTTGGTTTGGGAGAATAAACTGACAGGGGCTGGCTGTTGGGTTTCCTTCCTCAGTGTGGCAGAAAGGTTAGAAGGCAGGAAGATGTGCTGTTGTACTAGAAGATGTGAATTAGTGTCTACAGAGCAGAGTTGCGGTGGTCTAAAATACCTTTCCCTCCACTGCATGTGTAAACAATGCTATGCAGAAATTACAGAGTGAAATTTAGAAGTCTTTGATTTTGACCTAACTTGACTGTCCTTGGCTGCACTGGGAAATGGTGTTAGGAAAGTAATTGAGCACTTTCCTTTATGACTCTTACTAGCTCTGTAATAAATAAAGGATTAAATGAAAAATACCTGGTCACTTCAGCAGGGTCAGGGTTTAGTGTGACTAGCAGGCTCTGGAGCATGCCAGGCTATTTGTAATACCACTGAGACATTGGCTATCAGCTTCTGGTCCATCCTGAGATTTCTGGGGAGAGGTTTTCAAGGGGATCTGTGAAAGGTAATGAGAAAAAAAGCCCAAACTTATCCTCAGTGGGCTTTAGTTAGCCTTACAGGGATCTTCCCCTTCCAGTGAAAGATTTAATGGGTTCTGTTGTATCCAGTGTATTAAGATGGTAACAGTTTCTATGCCACTTAATGTTTTGTAAATTATTAGTGTTTTAAAAAAATATTTTGCTGGTGTATATTTTCACTGTGTTAGGTAAAAAGACATCTTAGAGATATTTAATAAGATTCAGTATGTTAATTGCTGGACTGAAGCATTAAAAAAAGTGCAAGAATATGCAAATTCAGATGCTGTGAATTGAGTAACATGCTGAATACGTTATTGAGTATGTATAACATTTTTTACTGTAAACATAAAGTAAGTTGCTCATTTATTTAAATTTGACATTATTTAAGTGTACTAAGTGCATGACTACATCCGCAAAAACCACCCTGTTTTGTTTAGCACAGGATTTAGAAGTAGATACGGATATAAACAAATCTCAGCTGGACTGTCAAATGAATTAGTTACAGCTTTTCAAAGGAATGCTGTGATTTAAAAATACTCAATAAATGTTTCTTTTCAGACTACATTAATTATGGAAGGCTGCACAGTTCTTGGTTTTGTTTTGTTTTAGAGTGGAAGGACATTACAAATCGTTTTTCCCCTTTTAAAAAGAAAGCTTTTTATTATTCTTTCTGCCTTTTTGAGCTTGTATATGAAAGTTCTGAGCAATTCTGGCACAGCAGATTATTTCCAGAAGTGTATTGCTTCTGTAGGAAATAAATAAAAAAAAACAAACAAACCAAATAAACCTTTTCAGTAGTGTTTCTTGGTTTGAAGTGTCACTGGAAGGATATAGGAAAAATACAGAAAAAAAATCTTTTTGTTTTTAAAAAAATCTTTGTCTCGTTTAATTGTAAGTGGCATTTGAACCTAAATGTGATTTTTATTATGATTCCTGGACAGAAAAAAACAAGTCAGCATCTGAGTCTTGGCAGCATGGATACCTCTTGTCAACCGTTGCTTTCAGAGACAGCTGGAATAGTTGTTACTGGTGAACACTTAAAAAATCTGGAGGTAGAGTGATAG